TCCACTAGGCATTTGAGCAGAAAACTGAATAAAACAAAGGAGTGAGCCAAGAGAAGATCTGGAGACACTTTCAAGACAAGGGAAGAGTGAATTTAAAAGATAACCTACATAGGGACAGGGTTGTTTCTCAAGGGACAGGCAGCAGATAGCCCTAGGGCAGAATGAGGAGGAGAAGGAAGTAGAGACAGCCATGGGGTGGTTAGGAACCCATCCAGATGCAGTCTTGTAGGTCATGTCATGGCAAGGAATTTTATATCAAGTATTTATAGAAGGACTGCTTGGTACATACAGCTGAATGAAATCGCCTGTGACTAGAGAGAAAAATTCTGACAAAGCCCTGGAAGACTCTGATCTTTAAGAACAGAATAACATAATGCCCAGAAAGACAAATGAATTTTTCCAAGAAGAGAAAAACTGTTTCAGATCCACTGTTACAAATACGTTCTAATTTGCTATCATCCCTAGCTATCTTTCAACCTCAGCAATGAAATCAAAATGACACTGACTTCTGCAGAACAGATTTGTAAGGAGATACAAACATCTCACATGTCTTCCTTTCATTTGCTCTATTCTCCTTGTAACAAAGGACTGTCAATAACTCAGAACACAAACCTCTTTTATAATTGAAAATAAACCTATTATATATTTTATGAATAACTAGAAGAGGGGAGCTTGCAGTCTCAAAACACAAAGTAGTGATAAGGAAATAGAAATTTTAATTACCTTGATTTGATATACATATTGTATACATGCATGGAAATATCACACTGTATAAATGTGTACAATAATATGTGTCAATCAGAAATTTTTAAAATAAATAAATGGAATTAAATTAGCATACAGCTTTAGGCAATATTATCTGTGGCCTTTTTAACTACTCAAGAATGATCGAAAATATCTTCTATTTCTCTCATAATAAAGAGAATAGTACACTATTGACCAAGTATACACATTCCAAAAGCAAACAGTGTATTCAACATATTAATAAACAAAAATTTAAAAAACAAAAGGGTATCTCATGGATGCATAAAATCTCATGAAAAAAAATCCAAAAATCCATTCCTGATATTTAAAAAAAAAACTCTCACAAACTAGAAATCAAACAGAACTCCCTTAACCTGATGAGAAATCCTCAAATGAATGGTGAAGAATTGAAAGTTTTCCTCTAAGATCAGGAACAGGAATTTATATCCCCTCCAAACTTATATTCAACATTGCAATTCCAATCAAATTTTCAATAAACTTATTTTTTTTTAAGATTGAAAGACTGGTTTTAAAAATTATATGCAAGTTCAAAGGGCATAGAATACCTGAAATGGCCATGAGAATAGTGAAGTTTAAGGACTAGCACTAATTGAAATTGAGATACATTAGTATTCAACATGTGGTATTGGTACAAAAACAGAGAGATCATTGGAATGGTATATAGAGTCCAGAAATAGGCCCCCACATGAACAACTGATTTGGGGCAGATGTGCAAAGGGAACTCAGTGAAAGTCATCCCACTGTCACCTTGAATGCATACCATCTTTATTTGTCATTTAAATATTTATATCAAATGTTTTTAAGTGGGCAACAGACATTTCTCCAAAGAAGATTCACAAATGCCCAACAGGTATGAAAAGACACTTAACCTCTAATTCAATACTCCACCATCCAAAAGATGGTTGATGAAAGGAAAATGTGCACTCACTACCATAGAGGAACGAGACAGCTTGCAATGTGCCCGGAAGCCTCATCAGAGAGTGCTGCTTTGGGTACCTGAGTTATCCCAGCAATTCGCCTCAACTGTCTTCTCTGGTGGGGTCCTTGATCCCATGAGGGAGCTTTTCCCATTCCCTCCTTCTCCCCTATTAACCCCCTTTCTCTGCTCCACTGATCACCCTTCTATTTTCATGGAATAATCCTCCCCCACTTTTTGGTTCCCCTCCCCCCCCCTTTTTTTTCTAAAATTGATTAAGGGGTAGATTTTATGTTATCTTTTCTTACTATGATTTTTAAGAAAGGTCTAGGCATGCCAAGTGTCCATGAGAATTTGGAGTAAGTGGAATTCTTATGCACTGCGAGCATTGCTGATGCAAATGTTAAGTGATACAACTACTTTGGAAAACAATTTCAGAAGATTCCTAGAAAGTTGTACACACATTCTACTTTATGACCCAATCGTTCTACCCCTAGGTATATACTTGAGGGGAAAGTATATATCCAGTCAAAGGTTTTCCATTGACAATTTATAATAGCCAAAAACCGGAAACAACCCAAAAGTCCATAAACAGATACATAGATAAACAAACATGGTATATCATATGATGTAATAATACTGAGCAATAAGGAGTAAATTATTGACATATGCAACAATGTCAATGATTCTTGAAATAATCGTGGTAGTTGAAAAAAACTATACATTATTCCTTTATACCAAATTTGCATGATTTTGTAAGAAATTCAAATCAATGTATTATGACAAAAAGCAGATGAGTGTTTTTCTGGGATGTGGAGAAAGAGTAGTAGGAAAGGCCACAAGGGATGAAGTACAGTAGGGCATAATAAAATTTTTAAGAATGATGTATACATTTTTTATCTTGATTATGGTGAGAGTTTCATGAGCATATTCATTTGTTAAACATATCAAATAGTAAATTGTTTAAATATACAATTTGTTGCATGCCAATTAAACCTCAACAAAGCCACATTTTTAAGTCAGCAAATCAGAAAGGATTTTAGACACATCCTTCGAGTATATCTTAGGTTGATGACCATAGAACCAAAAATAATGAATTATATATACATAAATATTCAATTCCATGTTTGTACATGGTATTAAATAGTAAGAAATAGCAATGATTATATTTGGAAAGTAAACTCAATTCCTTCAATGATTCCTTAAGCCCAAAAAAGAAGATTTGAAGGCAAGGTTGGTGACTGCATGGTGGCACCATATTGATTAGCTGTTTATTGGAAAAAGCTTTGACAGAACAGGTCTTTCTGGGAAGGCTTTGGTGGGCATAGTTCAGCTGAACCAATCCTGCTCTTTCTGAAAATACCCCCAGACCTTCCACATTGTCCCATGGGAGGTGCCTAGGTAAGTTTCATGAACTTTCCATTTATGTCAGTCTCAAAAATGTCCCCACTGCAGCCCACAGTGACAGAACATTGAGAACAAGTGTACAACTGAAACCCGGACCACTCTGAAGAAAATCTCAAGAATGTGGGAACTTGGAGAAAGAAAGGGCAGAGCAGGCAGAATCAGTTAAGAGGAGACACTTTGGAGTAAGAGGCCTCAGAGCAGAACCTTCATCGTCTGCCACTTTCTTGCTACATACTTTCAGTTCAGTCAGTTAAGTCACATTACCTTTCTGGTCTTAGTGGTTTTTTTTTTTTTCTTTTGCTAAGTGGAGTCAATAATAATTATTTTCCATTACAGTTGCTAGGACTAAAATCAATGATTCATGTAAAGCTTTTAGCATAGTGCCTTGCATGTGCTTAGGATGCATTAACTTAAGAGTTAAGTTTAAAAATTATTAGTGAACTCTCCACTTGTAGAAGTGTCTACCTCCAAAGCTCAAGGGACCAGGAGGGACTATCCCAGACAGTTCTGAAATAAAAAGCCCCACAGATCAGCTCTTTGTGTTCTGAAACCTGGACGTTCATTTTAGTAACATGTATGGATGGTTATAGAGCTAATCAGCACACTCCTATTCCACAAGCACCCAGTTGGTTTTAAGAATAAATGATACATGAAAAGCCCACGCAGGGTAAGTGCTCTGTAAGTAGAATTTCACAGATGAGAAGCAGGTTGAAAGGCACTAACTAATCTGAAGCCATACAGCGAAGAAGTAATAAACTGGATACAATGATGCCAAATTCAAGGACTTTTCTACAACATAAACACATCTAACACTCACAGGAAGCCAGTGTGTTGAGGGAACACTTACATAGCAGTTGATATTTGAAAAAAGGCCAAACGTTGGATTGTTTTCACCCCATTCAGCAGTTTTTAGGTGTTTGATGCAAAGACACGAAAGCTGACAGGTGAACTCCAATGTTGTGGCCACCTGCACAGTTTTTTTCCCCTATATCTTTACCTTTTAGAGTTTGAAAGCTGCCATCTGTTTAATCTGCGCACCTCGCTTTCTCATACACAACTATATGTGCACGTGCGAGCACACACACACACACACACACTCAGTCACATTACACAGCACTAGCACTTGGGCTATAAAATGAATGATGCCAGCTTCCTTCTACTTCCAGAGATTGGACTTTTACCTTTTCTCCACCAGACAAAAGGAAAAAGAAAAGAACAATAACAATAAATTCTGGGCTGAGTGATTTAGAGCAGGCAGTAGATCACAGCTAGAGACAGGAGGTATGGCAATTAAGAGCTCGGACTCTGGCTGGGTGGAAGTGGCACTCTACCATTTGCTTGCTGACCTTGGGAAAACAGCTCAACCTCTCTAAGCTTAAGTGCTTCGTCGACCTGCAGGAATAATAAGAGACCGTGCCTTATAAGGATATCTTAAAATTAAATAAGGTAATTCCTGTAGCAAATCTCCTATTATTTCTGGAAGGTAATATCGAATAAACATTAGTTGCTATATATTAATATTATTACAGTCTTTATTATTATCATTTCAAGCCACAGAGAAAGAAGGAAAACAAAAGGAGAAGAAATAATGGGATTTGGAAAATCCCTTCGAATAAAACAGAAGTTTCCTTTGTAGACAGCTTCATGATTTTTCCAAATATTTTTTCCTAATTCATCATGTACTTCTGTGTCAGGGAATGTACTGGGGCCAGCAGATATTAGTGAATAAAGACAAACATGGTCCCTACCCATTCGTGCATAAGATGCTCAAAAAAAAAAAAAGGACTTATTAAGTAAGTAAACCCATAGGGCAGATAAGAAACTAAGGACTGAAGAAGATGAAATTTGAAGGTAGACACTGAAGCTTCATTCATTCAACAAATATTTATTGAGGGCTTTTTATGTGCTCCATTCTTTGCTAAGCCCTGAGTATGAAAACATGTTTGTCTCATGTCAATTACTTTCCAGTTGTGAGTATCAGACAATATCAAACATATAAAACATCTAGTATGTCCATTTATGACAAACATTACATAGAATAATAAGAGTGTAATTAGGTGCGATTTTTTACTAGAATAGTGCAGGAAAGCCTTCCTGAGAAGGTGACATTTGAGAAATGACGGGAAGGATGGAGAAACTGGGAAATGACATATTTCACAGGGGTCTGGCTAGGGCCTTCTGGAAACCTTTGATCTGCTCAAGAATTTCATAACTGCCTCCTTGACCTCCTTATTCCTCAGACTATAGATGAGGGGGTTCAACATTGGAGTCACCACTGTGTAGAGCACAGACACCACCCTGTCGCCCTCCGAGGACTGGCCTGAATTATCTCTCAGATACATGAAGATGAGGGTTCCAAAGAAGAGAGCGACAGCAGTGAGGTGGGAGGTGCAGGTGGAGAAGGTCTTGGCCCGGCCTCCAGCGGAGCGCATCCTCATGACGGCCACGATGATAAACAGGTAGGACACCAAGATGACCAGGATGCAGGCAGGCATCACGAAAATGGCGAACACGACAATCACCACTTCCTGGGTGTAGCTGTCCCCACAACTGAGTTTTAGCAGAGGAGGGAGGTCACAGAAAATGAAGTCAATCTCACTGTTCCCGCAGAAGGAGAGAGTGAAGGCCGTCACTGTTCGAATGAAGCCACTGGCAAAACCGGCCACATAAGCCCCGGCTACCAAGCCCACGCGGGTCTTCTCGGTCATGATGGTGACGTAGAGCAGCGGTTGGCACATGGCCACATAGCGGTCATAGGCCATGATGGCCAGGAGGTAGCAGTCAATAGAAGCAAAGAAGGTGAAGAGGAAGAACTGAGTGGCACAGTGAGCTTGGGAGATGGCCAGGCCGTGTTCCCACAGCACGGCCAGCATCTGAGGGACGATGACAGAGGAGTAGCAGATGTCCACAAAGGCAAGGTGGCTGAGGAAGAAGTACATGGGAGTGTGGAGTCGGCGATCTTTGCGGATCAGGAGGATCATCCCAGCGTTCCCCAGCAGAGTGGTGAGATAGAAACTCAAAAACACCAGGCAGAGGGGAAGCCCCCACTCGGGGTGCTCAGTGAAGGCAACGAGGAAGAACTCAGTCACCAAAGTGTGATTCACCTCAGCCATCCACGTAGCGCTTCACCAGGAGCCAGAGGAGGGGACCCCTCCAGAGAAGTTCAAGTCATTTCAAGGAATAAAGCTTAAATTGAGTGTCTGACATGTCGTCATTTGACTTCAACACACTTTGCCATCTCAGGGTGACATGAGCAAGTTGAGAATTCGTGGTAATGTAACAAGTGATGAATGGTTCTATTATAGTGGGAATGGAAAGCAAGTGATTCTCTAGGTTACAAGTCAGATCTTGTATTTGCAACTCGCTTTCCAATTAGCTGTTTGATGTTACCAAGGCACTTAACCTCTCTCGACCTCAATTTCTTCCTCTGCCAAAAGGTGATCGTAGTATCTGCCCTGCTTAGGAGCTAATGCATAAATTAAAACAGATGTAAATGCACATTGAAAAGTGAAAAGCATTCTATGGATATATGTGGGCTATTTACAATTTTAAGTGAAAACTTTAAGGAAGGAAAATTAATATTCTATGAACAAAAGAGCACAAACCAAAAAAAAAACAACAACAAAAAAACATTCATTAGCAATCAGCAATGGGCTCTGCTTACAGGAATAAATCTATTCTCAGTTTACAAACATGAATGTTTAACAAACAGCTGTTATCCTCATTAGAGCTGGCTGGTTTACTGAGGCTTTATATAAATATATACACACACTAGCATTAACCCTGGAAACAACAGCAAACATAAGCTCCTTTAGGCACCTAAAAAAGCTCCAGAAGCATTTTTCAGTTATTCTCAAAGACTCTAATAAAGGAAGAAACTTGATAATAAACAGCATACAAATTTGAAATCAGGAGGAAGCAGAAATGCTTTTGCAGTCTGGTGTTGTCGGAGTGCTATTGGACAGGAGTCTGGGTTGATAGATTTGGGGGTCCTTGATGGAGTTCTAGCACAAGGCTGTCAGGAGCACCTTGGTCATGTTTGAATAGCTTGGGCACCAGCAGTCAGGCCAATGCTGAGCTCACCCGAAAAGGATAATAACAAAGACAAGAAGTTGGCCCTGCAGGCCATCAGCTGGGCTTGAACTGTCCTTACCCAAATTCCACTTTGCTGGTGTCTTCATCCTCTGTTTGCTGTTTCCTCTGCTTGTAACCTGGGAATCCAGAGGACACTTGGGTTGTGGTTCATCCACATCAAGTGTGAAACCCTGGGCAAGTCACATTTCCTCCCTGGGCTTAATTACCTTGCCTGTGTTCCCTTTCAGTAAGCAACGGTGCAGCCTGTGTCCACAGTCACAGGAACCTGATAGACATGGGGTCATTTCTAGTACCTCTATCCCCTGTTCTCACTTCTTGGAATCTCTCCTCTCACCCTTGACAAAGCAATACATCTCTGACACTAGCATTTCCTGGGAGGTTTTGCAGACCCACCCCAAGTCAGCAGGGCTAGGAGACCAGCCTTTCTCCCCCTGCTTCCTCTCCAGCCCTCACCCCTGCTGGTGGCACTTCTTATATTCACCGCCCCAGCATGGTACCTCTAATTGGTTCCTGAGGTGACTCTCCAGGGGAAGGTGATTTTGTGACTTCCTAACAAGGGCTCTAATACCTTTGAAGATTTCTCTTTCATTTCAAACTCCCAAAGCCCCCTCCTGTGTCTTGCCATGCCTCAGCAGGGTCTGATGAGGCTCATTTCTAGTCTTGCCTCCTTCCTGCTTTGTCCTTGGAGCCCTCCTATGTCTCAGTAGCATGCACTTTTGCTCTCTATCACCGGGACCAGCTGAAACTGGTGACTGAACATTGACATGTGGCAGAAGCAGAGGATGGTGCAAGTGGGGCGTCACAAGATGGCATGTGACGGAGGCAGGTGCGAGTGAGCTGTGAGCAGACTTCCTTCAGAGAAACAGAACACACTTGATGATGACCACATTCTGCACCAGGGCTCTGGTTCTGAAACCTCAGTATGCATAAGAGCTACCCAGGGAATTTGTCTACCATGTGAATATCAGTGTCCCACACGATGGGTTTGGGAACAGTGCATCTCTTATGGGGAGCAGGAAGCTACATTGTTAATGGGTACCCCAGGCGACCTGATAGAATTAATCCTCAAAAACTATATCTAGAGACAGTGTCTAGAGGAGCATTTTGGGGAGCTCTTGCCCCACTTGACCTTCTGCCATCCCTTCCCCAGGCTGCAAAGGAACCCTGTGCCATAAACCAAATGAAAATAATAAAGACGTGTTCTTGAAGAGCCTGATTGCTCCAAAGTCCCAGTGATGTCTTCCTTCCTTGTAGGAGAACTGAGAGTTTTGATGTTTTTTGGTCTTATGAAAAGTTTTTAAAACCTAGATACAGAGATAACCAGGAAGGTTCTTGGTGGCAAAACAATAATTCAAAGCAGGCCAACACTCTGTCAACTAAGCCCATCCGGAAGTTGCTCAAGACAAGACGACTTCAGGGAAGTAATTCTCAAGCTATCTGCACATAAGAATCTCCTGGGGAGTTTCTAAAATCCCAAGGCACAGCCAGATGCAGTGGCAAGTTCCTGTAATCCCAGCAGCTCAGGAGTCTGAGGCAGGAGGATTGAAATTCAAAGCCAGCCTCAGCAATTTAGGGAGGCCCTCAGCAACTTAGTGAGATTAAGTCTCAAAAAATAAAAAGGGCTGGGGGTCTGGCTCAGTAGTTAGGTGCCTGTGGGTTCAATCTCTGGTATCAAGAAAAATTCTTTTTAATTAAAAATAATAATAAAATCCCAAGGCCCCAGTTGTACCCCTGAATAATTAAATCAGAGTATCTGAGTATAGGAGCCCAACATCATTCCCTGGTGATTGCAATGTGCAGCAAGGTTTAGAACTACTAACAGAAGGCTCCTGCATACCACCAGGTGTCTTGGGACATCTGGAGCTTGGAAACCGCATTGTGCTATATTCCTATATGGAGAGTCATATTGAATTACAGCACATTTGAAGATAGGTAAAGTCCTATAATTAAGAAACCTCATCAACTTTATCTAAACCATGATTTCTCTAAATTATTTAGTCACAGAACTTCTTTTTTATTAGCATCCCACAAAACCAGAGTTCCTAAGGATGGATGCTCTTTAGTAAAGAAATAAAGAAGCTCAGAAACTGTCCCAATGCCAAGCAGCAAAGCAGCAATTATTCTAAGAAACAGCGTCTCCTAATGATTCATCTCAGGATCTGGCTCCTTAAAGTCTCTGTGAGACTGGTTCCCCCAAGAGCAATTGCTCCTACTGGGAAAGGAATTGGGAGGGAATCTGGGGGAAAAACACCCTTCCAGACAGGTCCCCCAGGAGCTATGGAAGTGACACCACCTTGCCCTTTAAGAAAGGTGTCCTCTTCCATCAGGAAGTGGATCCCATGGCTGAGTCCCTCAGTTCTACTTCATGAACAACCCTGGACATACCCACCCCTTCCCCAGGCTGCAGAGGCCACTGAAACCCTGCTTTCAGGAAGCATTGAATCAAGTTGAATGAATTCAACTTACTTAATTAGGTTGATTGAATCTTTTCACAATGTTTATTTTGATCAAAACATCACATCATACACATAAACAAATACACTTATCATTTGTCTGTTAAATGAAATGAACTTAAATGGCTTAATATAAAAGCAAACTAAAATGATTATTAAGCTGATTCAGCCACCATGTGGCCGGCTCTAGAAAATGAACCTCCAAAATGAGTTTTCGTCACATTTTAACACATTGTATTAGGACCCATAAAAGTAAAGTAAAAGAAGTTTAGATTATTTTTTCCTAAAACCTACAACTCTGAATAAAATTTTGAAGGAAAATCCAACAAGATAATAATAGCAAAAGACTATTTTAACTGCTTACTATCTATATAGCACGCCTCTTCACTCTTCTAAAATAGATGACTGATGGATGGATTGATTGGTTGATACACTAGCTCATTTAATCCACACAATGATCCCATGACTTGCATACTATTATTACTCCCATTTATAGGAGATGAATGCTTAAGTGGATACCCAATATTCCCACAGAAAGAGCCAAAGGTTTGAATCCTGCAGTCCAGCTCAGAATGAGCACTCTTAACTCCTATGCCATACTGCAAACACTCACAAAATGGTCTCTAAATTCCACAATTGGAAATGGTTGAGGGATTCTTGCATGTCTGTATTTTCCTTCTAGACTTTTGGAAAGAAAGGGTCTTGGCTTAGAGATGGCATGAAGCTACAGGTGAGTAGATAGTGATAGGAAATTCTTGGGTACTTTCCTGGGTCCCTGCTCTATTCTGCAGACTATCACCACAGCCACTGCTGATAGCAAGGACTCAGGCCCACCTATTCACATGTAGTCTCACCTTCCTAGACATAGTACATCAGACAGGTCCAAGACCTGATCTGAGTTGGTTGCAAAGAATAACCCTCTCTTCTTCCAAAAAGAAGATCTGCTCCAAGTGGATATCTGTTCCCTGGAGCCCAGAAGTTGTGACTTGTGACTTGGAGGGGATACTAGGAAGGATATAAGAAGGACATATCTTCAATTCTCACTTTATTATCCCTGGTCACTATCTTGCCCCATCCATACTTGGGTGGATCTCATGCCAATTTAAGGCTGAGGGACACCTAGCACCAATAAATTTGCCTTGGAAGAACTTTGGAAGGACTTATCCTGCCACAAAAACTTCTCTCTCAATTCATTATTGGTATTCCTGCTTTAGCTTTATATATTCTAGAACTGCAGGATTTTTATAGTCTCTCACAGCTATTAGAACTAATAGGAATATTAGAGGTCAAATGACCCAGGCTTTCCGATTCACAGGCAAACTGTTCCAGGCCACCAAACAGGAAGATTGTTAGTGGTTGGCTCAATTAAGTTGATTGTCATCCATGACTGATAATCCAGCACTTTACCCAGTGGGCCCTTATTGCTCACAAACAAAGAAGATGCCCCACATAAAAATGACTAGATAATCATGTTAATTCATCTTGATACAATTCTATGCATGTCTGCCCCCTAGCCCCAAAACACTCCCAGAGGCAAATAGTCCCAAGATGAGTTTCTTCAATTGTTTCATTATAAGGTTTCTCAAAGTTTTCTCAGAGTCTCCACATCTGAACCTCACAGAAGGGTGGAGTCAGAAGGAACTCAGGAATCCAGTCCAACCCTTTACTTTATGGGCATGGAAAATGAGACCATGAGGGAGAAGGACCTATAGCCCTTGGGTTTCTTAATGAGATCTTAGTTGCAAATGACAGAAGCCCAGAACCTGGTATAACTTGAACACATAGAATTTACCGGAATATCCTGAATTTTTCAAGTGTACACCAGAAATTTCTCAACATCATTTAAAGGATGGGCCAGGATGCAGCTAAGCCTGGGGTACAACTGAGACCAGCAACTCCTGAATTGAGCAAAAATTTCTCTTTTGTCTGTAATTTTCTCTTGAATATCGGCTTTAGTTTCTTCCTAAACCTACTTCTTCCACAAATTAGGGAGGGGGAAAATCCCTCTGGTTGTTCCCATACTTTACATACAACAAAGAAGATGAAAACCAGTTGTTATAGTACAAAATTAAAACAAAAAAAAAAATCCTTTCGGATGGCAGAAGGCCAAGAAATGGGAGGCAGGGATTGGCCAATGTTGGCCAATCAGTGAAGACTAGAAGGATGGTATTTATAGGGAGATGTAAGTACTCCTGTGAACCATTTGGTTAGAATTAAGGAAGGAGCATTTCCAATATTAGAAAGATGCTGCTCTGAGAACACAAAAGAATAGATCTTCACCACAAAATGGCAGGGAGGGTCAGAGCAATTGCTACTGCCCTGTGCTTTAGGAATCCCACAGAGCTGATGACAGGTGGCAGGACTGAAAGGTCTACCACTGGTGGGTGCTTTAAAAGTTCACGTTCACATCCTATCTGCCATCAACAAGGCATTGGAAAGACCACTGATGCTTGGGGGTTTCTTTAAGTTTTCTGCTTGACCTTCTAGAGTGAAAAAAACGTGTAGAAATTTTTGTCTCTGGACATTCCTTCCTTGGACTTGGCCCCCATTCCTGTACTTAATTGCCTGGTTCTCAAATGTTCTCTCTCCATCCAAACCCATCCCTGGAAAGAGTTCTGAGACAGTCCTTTTATGGCTGGCAAAAGGGTCCCTTCTCAAGTAACTTAAATGTCATCAAAGTTAAAGCCCAAACAGAGGGCTGGGGATGTAGCTCAGCGGTAGTGTTTGCCTATCACATACGTCTGAGCCCCAGTGCTGGTGAAATAAAAATCCCCAATAGATATATGAAATCTCAGGCCACAGAAGGATCCTTAGAATTCCCTTATTCATCTTTCTGCCTCATTTTGCAGATGGAGAAAATGAAATACAGAACAAGGGGATTCCTTTGTGGAAGGACACACAGCTGGTTGGTAGCGGTCATCACTCAGCTCTCTTTCCAGCATATCCTGTGTTCTCCAGTAAAGGTCAAACAGGCAAATTTCAAGCAAAGGATTTGGAAACAAAAAAAAGGAATTTAAAAAGGAACTATGCCCTTTCTTGGCACCTCGGAATCATGTGACATTGCTCACATCTTCTGCCACCAAAATAAAATAAAATCTGCTGATTTGCACTTCCCTGGAAGGACTGTGGTCCTCAGAACATCTCATTGATGTGTGGGTAAAAAATGGTGGGAGGGTCTTCTAAGACCCTACCTGACACCAACAAACCCCTTCTTTGACAGCTTCCAAAGGACCTGAACCTAAAAGTAAAGCTCTCCTTGGAGGGCACCATATGTTGGCAGACACCTGAGGAAGGTGATGTGAGGAGCCACGCGAGGGCCAGGCATGAGACAGGCAGGGTGCAGGTGCGGCACCATGTCCCTCATCCCCTTGTTGAGCTGGATTTCCATGCTTTCACATCAGAAGATCTTTTTAGTCTCCTTTTAGATATTATAGCCACATTCAAAACTTCCCAGTAGATGGTGTTTCCTAATCTGAATAGCCTAGTTTTCCCTAAGCATGTATATCCAAAAGCAGAATTTAAACTTTATTGAGTAATAGGTACACAAAAACATTGCATTTACTTGATGTAAACATTTTACTGAGTTTTGATATATAAATATACTCATAATACTACAATCAAGGTGCAAATTTTTTCTCATGTTCTTTTTTGGATTTTCTTTTTTTGTTGTATTCTGGGTTGTTTGTTGTTATTGTTATTGTTGTGTTGTATTTTGTTTTGTTTTTGTTGGTTGATTGGTTGGATTTCTGGTGCTAAGAACATTTAAGATAAGACCTTTCTTCTTTCTTCTTAATATAGTATAAAGGGTACACTATCATATCGTTAGCTGTAGGTACTATGTTGTACAACAGATCTCTAGAACTTATTTGTCTTGCCTATTTGTCTTACTGTAACTATACCCATCAAACAATTACCTGTTTCCTCCTGACCCTAGGAACCACCATCCTACTCTCTTCTATGGGTTTGACCAGGTTCAATACTTCACGTAAGTGGAGTTCTGCAGTATTTGTCTTTTTGTGGCTTGCTTAAATCACTGAGCATATTGTCCTCTGTGTTCATCCATGTTGTCACAAATGGTAGGATTTCCTTTTTTTCATGGGGCTGAATAGTATCCCTTGTACATATATATCACCTTTTCTTTATCCATTCATCTATCAATGGACATTTGGGTTGCCTCTACCTCTTGGCTGCAATGAACATGGGGACAGGGGTGAACAGATGTTGGAGATGATGATTTCAATTCTATTAAATATATACCCAGAACTGGTATTGCTGGATCCTGTTAGGATTCTATTTGTGATTCAAAAGCAGATTTTTAATGAGTTATCAGCAATCATGCATCTTCTATTAAAGCAGAACTTTTAGAATCAAAATAACTGAATAAAAACAACCACAGATTGTTTAAATAAGTTCAACACAATGTGCAGAAAGATGTACAGAAATACTAACACCATACCCAAGCGACAACCCACTGACCTCCCTATTATCAACTACTCTTAATTTATTCCTAACTAAGCCTCATGTCCCATTTCATACATGAATAGAATGCATTTTTCAACTTTTGCTGAGCTCTTTTCGCAGTAAAAAAAAAAAAGTAAATGGAGTCCTACCTACAACTTGGAGTTTCATAGTCAAGTTCCTACAACCTTCTCACTTAACCCTTTGATTTTGAATAGAAGTCTTTAAGTGCCTGCTTAAAATTTAACCAGAAGGAGGCAGTGAAGTGCATCCTTGGACCTGACAACTCATTCTCTTGGTACTCCCTTTCCATTCATCGTGTACCCCCTGCCTTCTGGCAGATTCTAAGGGAGCAAATAACTCTTCAGTGTACTGCTTTTTTCCAAGACTCAATATTGCCTTTTTAAATGAAGAGTGTTTGGGTCAGCTTTTACACTGCTGTGACCAAAAGACCTGATGAGAACAATTAAAGGAGGAAATGTTTGTTTTGATGCTCACAGCATCAGAGTTCTCAGTCCATAGACTGCCAGTTTCATTTGCTCTAGGCCCAAGGTGAGGCAGAACATAATGGCAGATGAGCGTGGTATAAGAAAGCAGCTCAGGACATCGCCGCCAAGGAGGAGAAAGAGCTCTCCTCACCACAGACAAAATATAAACACCAAAGGGCACATCCCCAGTGACCCACCTCCTCCAGCCACACCCTACCTGCCTGCAGTCACCACCAGGTTAATCCCTATCAGGATTATCACACTGATGTGGTTAAGGCTCTCCTAACCGAACCATTTCACCCCTAAGTTTTCTTACATTGTCTCACACGTAAGCTTCTTGGGGGACATTTCATGTAAAAACCATAACAAGAAGGGAAATTCCTATGACTAACTCAAGATCTCCAACTTCTTGCTTAAGGTTGTCTACCACTGTAACACACGGACACTTGAATTATATGTTAATCATGCCCTTTGATGGAGCTATGCATTTGCAGCCTAAGCATTAATTCTCAGACAAAACTCTATTAAAAATTTAAAATGTTTCTTATAAAAATTATAATATTTGTTTTAAAATATCCTTTCCTCTAAAAAGAAACATAATGTCTTTGAAGATTTCTATGTGTTTTATTTTACTACATGATCTCAAATTGAGTATCCCTGGGGCTGTGTTCTCTGAATCTTCCACCTTTCATAAAATCTGCTTCTTCCACTTTGAAATCCTGTTACTATTCTGTGGAGCTGAGTTTTGAATCATCTGTTTCTTAGATACCGTCATCCTCCACCTCCCAGAATTCTGCACATGGTTTGTTCAACCAGGATCTTGTTTATTTGGTATTCCAGGTAGCAGGGAGAGAAGGAGTTTGAGTTTTGGAAATGAACAATCAAAGAAAATGAGTAGATGGGACTGTTGCTTTCCAGTGCAACTGGAAACTGACTGAGACAAGATACCTGTGGTTGGAGAAGTGAAGATCAAGAACCAATACCCTTTAGGAGGCTTTGGGTGCAGCCTGAGGTGGTGCAGCATACAGAAAAGTAGGACAGGCTGGGATGCCTCCCCACCACCCCTCCAGGGACCGAAGCTCTGACAGCACAGAGCCCATGCATGTGATACCATTATGGGCAATGGGAATAGTAAAAATTCACCAAGTGGCTTCTCAGGTCTGCAACATGACTAGGGAGCTGGGACAGGTGGGATAGAAGAAATAATAGGGTGTGTTTCCAGTGCTGAGAGCAATTGACAGGCATGTTATCACGGGTGGCTGTCATCTAGAGATTCGTGTGAAGCATCCCTGGGAACCACATCCAGGATCTGAAGGATTCATTCAGCAGGGTCAGCTTTAGTAACTGGGCCACCAAACTACCTCAACTCAGTCATTAAAAATGAATAAAATCTAAATATCGAATCCTAATTGGTAGCATTGACTCTGCGGTGCATAAGGATGAAGGACAATGCCAATATCTGCAACTCACCTTGAAATTATTCAAACAACAAGGCTGGTTGATGGATGAATTGATGGATAGATGAATTAATGGATGGATTATCCATACGGGATGCAGTAAATATAGCCAAATATTAGCAATGACAGAATCCAAGTACTGAGTGTTAGGAGCTTACTATAGATTACTTTTAACTTTTCTATACGGTGGAAATCTTCCATAGAAAATTTTGCAAAGTAAATATAATCTTGTTCTACAATCACAGAGCAATGAGGTGTGCCGTATCTGGATGACCCAGGATTTAATTTCAGATTCTGTTGCCGCTTGTCCTGGGAGTCATAGCTCTTGTTCCACTCTTTTCTCAGCCCAACTTTTCCTTCTCTTCCTTCCTCTCCCTGGTGCTGAAAGTCCTGGTTCTCTTTATGCTTTGTACCATGAGGGCCTCACTCGACCATTCTACCTGTTATAACAGGTATGGCCCAGAATGCTGGCCCTACAGAGTGGGTGACCCTAAGACTTCTCCAAGGTTAGGACAGCTGGATTCTGCTGAGAATATTCCTGAGTGCCTCCTTCACTTCCTTGTTCCTCAGGCTGTAGATGAGAGGGTTCAACATGGGAATCACGGTCGTGTAGAACACAGACACCACCCTATCTTTTTCCGAGGACTGGCCAGAGTTATCCCTCAGGTACATAAAGATGAGAGTGCCAAAGAAGAGGGACACTGCAGTGAGGTGGGAGGCACAGGTAGAGAAGGTCTTGGCCCGGCCTCCAGCTGAAGGGATCCTCACGATGGCCACGATGATGAACAGGTAGGACACCAAGATGACCACCATGCAAGCAGGGAGGACAAAAATGGCGAACAGGATAATGACCACTTCCTGGGTGTAGCTGTCCCCACAGGTCAGCTTCAACAGAGGAGGGAGGTCACAGAAAATGAAGTCGATCTCACCATTCCCGCAGAAGGAGAGAGAGAAGGCTGAGACGGTCCGCACCAAGGCGCTGAAGAGACCAGCCACGTAAGCCCCGGACACAAAACCCAGCTGGGCCTTCTGCGTCATGATGGTGACATAGAGCAGGGGTTGGCACACAGCCACATAGCGGTCGTGGGCCATGATGGCCAGGAGGTAGCAGTCAATGGAACCAAAGAAGGTGAAGAGGAAGAACTGAGCAGCACAGCGTGTGTGGGATAAGGCTGCCCCATGCTCCAACAGCACGGCCATTGTCTGGGGAACGGTGACAGACGAGTAACAGATGTCCATGAAAGAGAGGTGACGCAGAAGGAAGTACATCGGGGTGTGGAGTCGGCGGTCCATGCGGATGAGAATGATCATCCCCAAGTTCCCCGACAGAGTGATGAGATAGATGCACAAAAACAAGAGGAAAAGAGGGAATGCCCGTTCAGGATATTCAGTGAATGCGATCAGGAGGAATTCGGTCACTAAGGTGAGATTGGTCTCTGCCATGAGCCAGTGGTGCCTGAGGGGAAGAGCATGAAAAGCAAGTTAGGAAGCTGCAAATAGGATTTCCCTGCATGTCTACTTTACATTTACTAAACATGCACAGTGGACAGATCCTGGCAGGTGCTACGAGGGGTTTCAGAAATGACCTGTCTGAACTCCCGCCTTCAAGCAAGTTCCGTGGCCTAGAGTCATGTAAGCATGTCAAGAACAAAAGATACAGGTATAGATTTCAGAATAGGGGTGCATATTCTCCCACTTTCATTGCCAAAGAGCTGTGTGAGCTCCGAGAGTCAGATAATCACTCTGAGCCAAAATTTGCGTATGGCTCCAACGGGAGCTGACTGATCATCTCTCATCTACCCTGAGGCCACCCTTTTCCTCCATGACCACAGGTCCTCCTTTATTTCCCATCCTCTTCATCTTTTGTCTGCATTAACAGCAGCCATGGAACTGACTGTTCTCCCTGCCATCAGATTCACTTCTTGTGAATTCTTGAAACATCAGTTAAAAATCTCAGTATTTTTAAGACTTTGATCATATCACATTCCCCTGTTAAATATCACATTACCCTGCCATGGTATCCCATCGTGGATAGGGTGTCGCTCAGACTCCCTCGTTTGGGAATTCTCCCCTGGAATCTCCTTCATTTACTTCCTCATGCCTCTTCTTACTTCTGAGACCTCACACCCATGTCACATCCTCCCACAGTCTCTCCAGCCACACTGAGTTAGCAGGATTTCTCTGATCCACCATGTTCTCTCACATCTCTGTGCTTTTGGCAGAATACTTGCCTGGTATACCTTATCCTTCTCACCCATGGGTTCTTGCCAACTCTTGGGCTGCCTTCAAACCTCAGCTCAGGAGTACTCTTAAAGTCTCTGGGGTCACCTCCTCCAGTCAGTGCAAGGCCCTTGGAGGTCAGCACATGGCAAGGGCTTGAGATGTTTGCACAGAAAAGCCATCAAATGAGATATGAAGCCCCTTGCAAATGGAAAGGCACCATGCACATGTTCAAGTTTTATTTTTTATTTTATTGACTTTATTTTTCTGTTGGCCAACAGAAAATGCCTAAGAATAAAACTAACTAAAATTGATGAACAATCATGAAGGTCATAAGCCATTCTTGAGTTTACATGTCTATCTTCAAACTAACAATATGCTAACTTAATATCTGCTATCATATTTAACCCTCTTGGTTTTTACCAAAAATTGATTTTTTTAAACTATATGGTCTTGCCTGTAATCCCAGCTACTGGGGAGGCTGAGAAGGGAGAATTTCTTCAGTGCATGAGTTCAAGGCCAGCCTCCTTGGCAACAGAGTAAGACACTGTCTCAAAACAACATTTATTTATTTTTCTTTTTTTATTGATTTAAAAAAAAAATGACAGCGGAATGCATTACAATTCTTATTACACATATACAGCACAATTTTCATATCTCTGGTTGTATATAAAGTATGTTGACACCAATTTGTGTCTTTATACATGTACTTTGGATAATAATGTCCATCACATTCCGCCATCCTTGCTAACCCCCTGCCCCCTCCCTTTCCCTCCCACCCCTCTGCCCTATCTAGAGTTCGCCTGTTCCTCCCATCTCCCACTCCCTACCCCACTCAGCATCCTTATATCAGAGAAAACATTCAGCATTTGTCAAAAACAATATTTAAAACAAGAAAGAAAGAAAACTCTAATTTTCTTTTTTTCCTATTGTTCTTAATAACAGAAAACAATATACACACTACTCTATGTGATTTGCATACTAATTCACTTAATCCCCATAATCACTTTATGAAAAAGGAGATTCTCTTATCCTTATTCTACAGATGAGGAAACTGAGGCAAAAAGAGTTTAGGTAAGATGGAGAAGACAGCACAACTAGTAAATGAAGCAACCCTCATTAGGGCCAAAGCTGCACCCAGAAGTGCTGTTTACCATGCCACAAGATTTCACATGCTTCCCAGGGCTCTTCCAACAGCCCCTACTCAGGAAGTGCCCACCATTAAATCAACAAGCACAGATGCCTGCACTGCAGCCTATGAGTATCTGAAGGCTGGTGGAGGCTTTTGGACTAAGGGATAGAACGTCCTTTGGCAGACTTACAGTGTAACAGGATAGAGGAGGCATTGATCATCTTTAAAGCATAAGACTTTGGCAGCTAGAGCAGTGTTGGACTGACCTAGTGGGGAACGTGGTAAATAAAGGAAATTGGATCTGGTGACCTGAATTGAACAAAGAACCAGAAGAACCAGGTCAGTTCTCTCACCTGAATGAATTCCACTTTGGCTTTACCTAGCTGGTCCTCTCCTTTGTCCACTATTTTTCCTTAGTCTCTAAAAGGTCATTTCTCTTTCGCTCTCTGGAGAAGGGTCCCACGGGTGTGGAGGGACCTGTGTGCACGGAACAGCAGGAGGTCGGGGTGGATCCGTTTGCACTTCCATGTCTGCTCAGTTATGATCGGAGCCAGTCTCTTGGATCCTCAGTGGCCTTCTCTCCTCCCACACCCCCTCACACACATGCCTGCAATGTATGAATCAACGTGGGGACAATAATGCCTTAGCTGCCCGACGGTTTCTGGACTGTATGGTTCTCAAGAGCCTTCTAGGCAACACTGTTCTGTCAAGGACTCTCTTCTCTTCCTCTCTGTTTCCATGACCTGCTAGGTCTGGTTAGGATACATTCTTCACCCTTGCTTTTGTTCTATTCCAGGCAGAAGTAGACACCCTGCTCTAACATATATCCCTTTAGGAAGACACACTAATATTTGCTGAGGTCCCCAGTCAGTAAAGTGATCTCTAAGGAAAGACAATTATTGCTCACATGGACTCCTCACAAAGCACCTGGTAGATCTCACTTCGGAGGAAAGAAGCCTTCCCTCCCAGTCCCAACTCCCAAAGCCCTAACAAATACCCAGAGTGGAGTCTGAAATTAACAATCCCAATTCTGCATAGTCCCAGGAGGAACTAAATGTCTCTGGCTTTAATTTCTCCAATCAGAGCAAGGTCACAAAGGATGCCAATTGTCACCCTCACCAGTGTGGCTATTTTCTGACAGAAGGGAGGCTTTGATCCACAGAATTAGGAGGGTCAACAGAGCACCCTGCAGAGAGACCTCAACAGGATGCATTCATTGTGTCATTCCTTTGCCCTTTCTGGGAGTCAGAGGTTTCATTAAGCTCCCCCCTGCCTTTCTTTTTTTTTCCTTTAAACACAAATGAAACCAGAAGGAAAACAAAAGCCTGGGATGTTATCCAGAGGGGGATTGGGCAAGTTCTTCTTATTGATATGGCCTTTGCCAGTTCTCCACCTCTTTGACACCATGAGTTGTTTTTTTTTTTTTTAATCCTCCAATTCATAAGCATTTTGCTAAATTGAATTTCAACAGTTCTCAATTCATAAAAGAAAACAAGATGAGAAAGAACAGAATAAATCTCCTCTTTGACAATTATGAAACCGAGAGAAAATGGGGCCGCCTGGTCCATCAATTCACCACTGTGCTAAGAATTCTAAATGAAGAATGATTAGAATAAGACATACTTCATGTTTGTATACATGTCAAAATACACTGTCATGTGTAACTAAAAGAACAAACAGAATTTTAAAAAAATGAAACACACATACAAAACACACACAACATCTGCCTGTTGGAAATAGGCAAACAAATAGGTGAGATAATCATCTATCGTTCAAGATGACAAGTACTAAGTTAAACTGTTAAGCAAAATGTGAATAATGCGCCATGGGGAGTCAGTGTAGGGTGCAGTTACTTACAGGTGGAGGAGATCAGGGAAGGCTACCCAGAGATGGGCTTTGACAGTCTGCTAGGATGGAGGAATGTTGACAAGCTCTGTAGGAAGAGGAATCAGCATGACCAAACATCCACAGTTAGATGATCCCAGGGACGACTCCTAATGCAATAATTGGCACTTTGATGACAGCTCAGAATGGTACAGATTCCAAAATGCTGGGGACATATCAGAAATCAGACATTTTCATATTTTCAAATATTTGCATGTACATAGTGACATATATAGAAGATAGGACACATATCTAAATCTGAAATTCATTTATATTTCAGGTATATCTTATGCACACAGCCTAAAGTTAATTTTATACCGTATTTTTAATACACCTATGTTTTGACTGTGACCTGTCACATGAACTCAGTGTGGAATTTTCCACTTGTGTCCTCAGGTAGGTACTCAAAAACTTGAATTTCAAATTTTCATATTAGCACTACTCAACCTATATGAGGCAAGTCAAGTCCAGGACTCAGGATAAAGTATATAGGTGTTGGTTCAAGTGCAAAAAATAAGGTGGCAACAAAAACCTCAGTATAGAAGATAAATAATATTTTAGCATAATACTTTAAAAAATCAAAATCAATGCAATATAGTCTAAGATAAACAAATATAAAAATTGTAAATAAAGGCCGCACAGCATTACTGATTTTTCCCTTGGCCTCAATCCCATCATGGTTCGACAGTTGCACCGGTGCTGGGAGATATGTTGAAACGGGAGGGCAAGACCAGAGAGCTTCCAAGGGACAGACTTTCCCTTGGAGAAAAAGCCTTTCCATCATCTAGGGATTTTCATTTCTTTTCTCTCTGTTCTCTGTGTAAAAAAAAAGAAAATGCAAGAAAGTCAACATAATAAGATCAATACTTGAAGAGTGCCTTTAACCATTTCAAATCATTCCCTTCATCTATCTTCACAAGAGCCCTATGGGATAGAGAGAGAATGAGACTCCTCATTGTACTGAGGAGTAAACAGAGGATTAGAAAGGTGTTCAGGTCATACAGTACATTTTGTCTGTCCTGCATACCCTGTTTGCTAGAGGACTCTGCCCTGGGCACAGCCCCTTCTGCCCAAGGGGATTTTTTTTTTTTTAATGATCATGACACTCTCATGCATATGCATGTCAGAGCTCTCTAAATGAAAAAGTCTTCCAAGCTATCCTGTGTTAACAAATAACAGTAACACAATGTGACTTGCAAAATAAACTTATTTCTAATTCATGAAAAACACAGTGTGGTTTAGGTGGTGCTGAGTCTCATAGCTATGCCCTTTGGAGCTGGTGGACTTGGGTATAGCTAGCGCAGGACACAGCAAAGAGAAGACTGTGTAGAGGAGAACCAAGGACAGCCTGGAAGCGATCTTCTTCACCCCAACATCCCAGTGACCAGAAGCAAGTCACATGCGCTCAACATAACTGCAAGAGATGCCAGGAAATGCACAAGAGCACACAGATATCTGCACAAACTAGTGTTCAGGCTAACATCTCTGCTACCTTTCCTACCCTTTGTGCAGTATAAAGTCTAGAACCCTCCTCAAAATTATGAGGGCATGCAAGGGTTCACTATTACATTTGCATGGCTCCTCCTCATCCTGCTTCCACTAATACATTATTTATATTTGTGCACATTTCCCATAATTGTGTTCACTCTTCTCTGCACCACAGCACTCCAAGTGTGAAACATGACCTGTTTACTTTTTGTTTGGTTTGGGGTTTTGTTGTTTTATTTTGCAGTACTGGAGATACAACCCGGGGTGCTTCACCACTCAGCCACATCCCAACCATTTTTTATTTTTTTTATTTTTTTTTTTTTTGAGACAACTCATTAAGTTGCCCAGGCTGTCCTTGAGCTCATGATTCTTTTTTTTTTAAAGAGAGAGAGAAGAAAATTTTTTATTTTTAATATTTATTCTTTAGTTCTCTGCGGACACAACATCTTTGTTTGTATGTGGTGCTGAGGATCGAACCCAGGCCGCACGCATGCCAGGCGAGCGCATGCCAGGCGAGCGCGCTACCGCTTGAGCCACATCCCCAGCCCGAGGTCATGATTCTCTTATCTCAAACTCCTGAGTCTGGGATTATAGGTGTGTACCACCGCACCCAACTCATCTGTTTTCTTTTTTTCTTCATTTTCTAAAATTGATACAGAGTATGGGCAGCAGACTTTTAGTAAAGATACTGTAGAAAATTTAGGAGGTTTACAGTACTGCACAGATGGGAGGGGAATTTAGAACTGAATAATGAATGTTGTTCTGCAAGTTTCCCGCCATTTCCATCTGAAGGAACTCATTACCAGCTGCTCCTCACCTTCACCTTCAGCCTGCCTACTACCATCCAACCCCATCTCTTTCTCTACTAAGGTAATCTTTTATTTATATCTATATTCTTCCAAACCCCTTTCTATCCAGTCCACTAGAAAGAGATTTAAAATTCTTTTCATATTGTTATGCATGATAATGTAAATCTTTAATATCTAAATTTCTTCCATTTAGATCATGCATTGAAAGTTCTTAAATTTCATTATCAAGATGCTATAAATCACCATGTGCCTCTATCTTTCAAGAGTGTTTTCTTCAACCAAAAAAAAAAATTCTCTAACAGAGAAAAATTAGGTCAAATGTCAGCTAAGATTTTTTTTAACATACCAATAAAGGATTCAATGTTCAAAGAAGTCTGGAAAAAAATTAAATGAAGTTAAAAAACTATCTTTCCAGAGACTTTAGTATTTCATATGCTTTATAAATCTCAAAAATAAAGAGTATATTATGAAGCAATTCTCAAAAGTATTTAACCACAGAGTGCTTTGTTGTCTACAGTGGTGTAATAAACACCCACAAATTCAGTGGTGCACAATAATGAGTGTCTTTTTCCCCTCACATTCGTGATTTCACGGTCAGCAAAATTCAGCTTTCTTAAGCTGCATTTGGCCACCTTGTCAAGCTGTCAGGCTGCAGTATGTTCCTGATCTGCTTGCATGTCGTCTTTGGATAAGCAAGCCTTTCAAGGAATGTTCTTTTTCTAACAATAATAGAAATACAAGCAGACAAAGCCCCATTATCAAAACACATTTCCTTCATCGACTCTACTGATGTCCCATCCGTCAAAGCAAGTTGTGTGGTCAAGCTCAGCATCCTCAAGGATGGGAAGGAGGGGAATTTATTCTATTCCCAATTGGAAAGGAGTGAAATGAATATTTTCTGAACACTAGTCCAGCCATCACTGTTGTTCATAAATGTTCATGTCCTACCAACCCCCGTGAGCCACATGCAACATACATTCGTCATCACCCAATAACCCCCACCACAATTTTCAACAAACTATATCATCGAGATGAAACTCTGGCATCTTGCAATCTTCACCATGTCCAGAGATAACTCCCCCTGAGTCTAAAGAATTATAATCTAAGATGGGCACAGTGGTGCATGCCTATAATACCTGCGGCTCACCAGACTGAGATAGGAGGATATCGAATTCAAAACTAGCTTCAGCAAAAGCAAGGCACTAAGCAACATATTGAGACCCTGTCTCCAAATAAAATACAAAATAGGGCTGGGGATGTGGCTCAGTGGTCGAGTGCCCCTGAGTTCAATCCCTGATACCAAAAAAAGAAAGAAAGAAAGAAAAAGAAAAAGAAAGAAATATAAACTTAAAAGACAAGTTTGATGTCATCCCACAAACTTCAAAAATGCATTGATGAGTCAGCGATGAGCACTTCCATTAGAAAAGAGTGACAGACACCTGCAGTCATTGGTCTATAGCAATTCTGAAATCCTGGTAAAGTGTTGCTATGTCTCCTTATCCTGGAGAAGAAAACATGCCTGTCAGTGCATGAATCATCTCCCCTGGGAAGAGGAGAGTGGCAAGTGGCAGAGAAAAAAACACCATGACCATATTTTTTTTTTCATAACCAGAAACATGCAAACAGTTTCTGTGTTTCACTGTCTCTTTTTTTGCGGTACTGGAGATTGAATCCAGGGGCACTGTACCACTGAGCTACATCCCCATCCATTTTTATTTTTAGTGTTAGTTTGAGACAGGGTGTCTCATGAAGTTGCCCAGGCTGGCCTGGAACTTTGGATCCTCCTGCCTCAGCCTCCTGAGTCACTAGGATTATAGGCGTGCGCCACCCCACCCAGCTCCCGTGTCTCTTTCAATTAGCATGCTGTAGCCACTTAGAGTTTACCAGAAAGAAGGGGTAAGAGTAAGGGTTCTGGTCTCAGATGGCTTGGGTTTAAATCCTGTCTCTATCATTTTCCATCTGTGCAATCTTAGGAAATACACAAAATCTCTGTACTTCAACTTCCTCATTTATAAGTTGGGGGATAATAGTAACAATCTCAAAACATCATGGAGAAAATCAAATAAAGACAGAAAGTAAAGCCACTGTTGAGTTAGATGCCCTGGTCTTCTCTGCATCAGAGGGTGTTTCCCAGACAATTTCCCAAATTCAACCTTTCTTCCTACTTCCAGGTCAGAATCTGCGTACATTCAATAAACACTATAGAGCTCACACCAACTAGTTACTTTAAGACAGCAGTAAAACCTATCTGGACTCTAATAACAGATGTGATAACCACAGAAATAGTCTCTCTGAGTGCCCATTATATGCCAGGCACCATGCCAAGCATTTCACATAAAACTCCCCTCTTAAGAATAAAATTATAAATTGTTCAAACTAAATATGGCATTTCTAATTATGTAAGAAAATATCCTCAAAGATTATTTAAAAAAAAAAAAAACTTTTCTTTAGATGAGAGCTCTTATAACTCCATCACTCAATGTCTCCCATGGTTCTTCTATCCCATTTTGCTCTTCTCTAGTCCAATGTTAATTGACTATTGATGTCAGCCTTCCCTGTCATTGCCTTTACATAATTTGATTTCAAATATATGTCAATCTTTCTTTCCATTAAAATATGAAATTTTTTGTCATTATGCCTCCGTCTTTCTCTGTCTTCCCTGGTGCAAAGCTTCTTGGGAAACTCCTTATTGAAAGATTCCCTACCTCGGGGGGCCTGGTTCCATGCCTAGTATGCAGTGAACACTTGCAAATGATTATGAGAGCCCAGATGGTTGGTACAACAGAGGAGGTGCTGATGGACACTTTGTACAGCTCTGGAGATAATTAGAATAACGTGGCTTTATTAAAAGCTTTCCTCGGGGCCTCCTTTACTTCCTGGTTCCTCCGTTCATAAAACTGGAAAGTTCAACCTGGGGCTCACTACTGTGGAGAACATGGCCACAGCC